AGAACTGCCCCAAGAACAGGATCCAGAAAGCAGCACATCTGCAGTCCCAGTGCAAACTGGGGTCTCTTCCCAAGTTTCCTTCTAAGACGATTACTTTTTTGGAAATTAAAGAAGTTTCTTGATTTAATTTAAACTTCATTCATGCCATTCCCCCTGGGGATGTCTGGATGTTTGGAGGAGAAGGAAGAAGGAAGGAAGAAAATTTCCCCTTTGGAAGATAGGTAAGGGCTCCTGTCTTCTCCTCACCACGTTCAAGGCTCTTTCTTTTTTGGTAAGATCAGGTATAACCCCAACTGGCTTCCTCTGCAGCCCCTTTCTTCTTTCCCCTCCAGTTTTAAGTTTCATATCTCCTTCATTCCTCCCAAAGGGACCCTGGAGCTGTATTCATTGCGTGCTTCTACACTGGTTAACGGTCCTGGCCAGACCTTATGTTTAAAAACACATTAGTTAACTTTTCAAACACTCACACTGTCAAGGTTTAACACCTGGAAAATCTGCTTGCAGGGCATGACTGGTCTTGGAAATGTCAGCCACAAGAGCCTGCATCCCAGCAGGAAAGCTGTGACAGCCCAAGCTGTGGTGCCAGCAAAGGGAGAGGGGAAAAAAAGAGCCTCCCTGCCCCAAGAGGTGCACCCCTTTTTTTGCTCCTGGATGGTGTTTATAGAGCTCTCCAATTCTTCTTCTTATGTCACTTGGCAGGCTGTAAAGTAAACCTAAAAACACAAACATCTCCAGGAAATATATACAACTGTTAAATAGGTAATTTATCCTCCCAAATTTCAGTGTGACGCTTCAGCTGTAAAACTCAGCTTCCACTTATGCTTAATGCCACGGGGGTTTTGCTGAACTCCACTTGGAGTTGCTCAGACCTTTTATTAGAGATACAAACTGCCATGAATTTTGTTCCTTTCTTGCAAAAGATACTATTCCTGAATAAATAAATCTGTTTCCCCTAGAATATAGGAATTCTGAAACACATCTGTTTAAGGATTTTTAGACTGGGGCTCTTCTGTGTATTGTGGCTGCAAAGTATGAGCTATTTACTATTCCTGTTTGTAGGATGCTTATACTAAATCTCATGGTAATATTCTCCTTCTGAAATGGATAACTCAGACTTGCAGCACCAGTGAGGAGAAAGGAATGAATTCTTCGAAGTATTTGGTCAGAAGGGGAATTATTAATGCACAAATTAATGAAATGCATGGATACATCATTAATTCTTGGCCTTTGTCTTGTATTACTTGAAGAGATGCAGAGACCCCAAAATCATCATTTAAAAATTCGTAGATGTTCAGTAAAAAAACATGGGCTGACTTCATCTGCTAAAAAGCATTTTACTGAGGCATCACCCAGCCAGCTGTGGGAGACTGAAGGATATTCTTTTAATTGGTTAAACCTCTAAGTGCTTTATAATTGCTTTCACTAAGCAGCTTCTGTAACAGAGCAAATGTTACCTGGAACTGATTACATTTTAATAGGCTTAGCCAGCGTCCATCCAGGGACATGTAAAGCCTCCCCTTGATGTCCATCAATTTGTCTCAACGTCGTTATCAGAGCTCAGCTGTGCCATTCAATAACTCCTTCCCTCCATCCATGTGGGAACTGATCTGACAGGCACCTGGGAGGTGCCGAGGGCTGCTCGGAGGAGAACGGGCTCCAGGCAGGTGTGTTGGTGGGGATATAAATCCATGTCATAAAATTGACCCCTTTCAAGAAGGTATTTTGGCTGAACAGTGCTTCCATCCTGAGCCAACCTCAAATACACCTTGATTTTTGAGCAGCTGTTTGGAATGTGGTGAGGTGGAGAAGGTTTATATGGCTCTCTATGTCTGCATACAGAATGCAGTGGCCTGAGAGAGTAAATGAGGTTTTAACCACTGAAGGCTGCTTGTTGGATGGAATTCCTCTCCTGTGAGGAACAGCTAAGAAAATTGGAGTTGTTCTGCCTGGAGAAGAGAAGGCTTCAGGAAAACCTTTTTGTAGCCTTCCAGTACCTAAAGGGGCTCTGAGAAGGCTGGACAGGAACTTTGGACAAGGGCATGGAGCGACAGGACAAGGGTGAATGGCTTCAAACTGGAAGAAGGAAGGGTTAGACCAGAAGAAATTCTTCCCTGTAAGGATGGGGAGGCCCTGGCACAGGTTGCCTGGAGAAGCTGTGGATGCCCCATCCCTGGAAGTGTTCAAAGCCAGGTTGGATGGGGCCCTGAGCAACCTGGTCTAATGGAAGGCATCCCTGCCCATGGCAGGATATTGCACTAAGATGGTCTTTAAGGTCCCTTCCAACCCAAACCATTCTCTGTTGGGGGGTGTGCATGTGAATGTTTAAGAATTATTTAGAATTTTATCAAATTATTGGCTTATCAGGCTGTGCAAACAGAGAATATTCAACTTTCTGTGAAGCATCACACAGCTCTGAGACACTCAGCATCCCAGGACTGTAATATAGCCAAGGAATAATAATACAAATTGGAGGTGGTTTATAGCTGGAGAATTGAAGGAATTGGACAGAGGAAGGAAAGTGTGAAATCTCTTGGTGTGAGGTATTTTTAACAGCAGAACTGGCTGCCTTATTATCTTCATAAAAGAGCTGGGAAGCTGCCAGTGCCTGCAACTCACTGAATTTGGATCCTCACACCTGGTGAAGATTGACAGCAGAGAGGGAATTACAATCAGGAATCACATACTTACTGAATTAATGAGGTGGCTTCCAGGCAACAGGGCTGACACATGACCACTCTCTTCCTCACCCTGATCCCGATCACCCTCATTATTTTATAGATGATTAAAGTCAGAAAGAGCCAAGAAAATACAGAAATGCTACCAAAGAGGATGTTGTGGATGTTTCGAATGAAGCTGTTAGCCTGATCACCTTCAGCTCCTGTTTCAGTGTAAACAAATACCCACTCTCAGTATATTTGGAGCAAGGAAGTTTTTTCTGCTCTGATCTCATCCAACAGCTCTGCACACCATGAGCTGCAAAAATTTCTTTTTTAAGCACTAGTTTTACAAGTTCGGAAACATTTCACCATTAATCCAAAATCAGCCTCTTTGTTCTTCAGGCCAAAGTTCACTTTTGGAAATGGAAAATACTTTGACCCCCGTGAAGCTCTGATTTCATGCCAACAGTTTTAATACTGGGGACAAGCGTCATTTTTCTTTTCCCATCCTCTTCCATAAATGAGCCTAGACCCTGTACATGACTTTGGCTGCCATGGATGACCAGATAAATCATGAGCATCCTTGTGCATTTTTTACTACTTTTCTGACAGCTCACAAGCCTGGGTTATTAAAAAAAAAAAGTCGTGAGGAACGGATGACAAAAGTAAATGTGAATCAAGCACCTCCAGTAATCAAGTGCATCTGAAAAATGAGATGCAGCAGGATTTCACTCACATTTGGATAAAAAAAGCCTTTCTGCAGAGTGGAATGAATCACAGACAAAACTGAGCAAGAGTTTTTTCATCTGCTGGATCTTCCTCAGCACAGAAAAGCAACAAGCAGCCACCCTCTCATTGCCTTCCTAGCAGGGAGGGGAGCTCAGTCCTCTGCCAGGCTGGCCCTGCAGAGATGCAAAGATGCATGGAATATCTGGGCATCACTGCCTGGGGGCCCCCATGGTGCACCCTTTTGCACCATTTCAGGCTTCTCACTTTTGCCACCTGTTCTCAGCTTTTGCAGTACACAACAAAAGCAAAAATTTGTCTGGAGAAGAAGAAGATGAAAAAGAAAATTACACTCATTGATCAGAAAGAGAAGAGCTGTTTTTCAGTGCCTTGGAGGAGACATGGACCTGTGGGCAAGGGGTGCACTGCCACCACTGCCAAGCAATGCCAGGTGTAAATTTAGGCTTCTCTCTTATTATTCATGAAGAGCTCTCTCTTCTTGATGATCAAAGAGTATTCAATGCTAAAAGGAGAGAGAGATGTGAGGTGTTGTAGCGAAGTGAGAAAAGGCAGCTTCTCACTTAATGGCAGCAGGCAGAAGTGTTAAGAAACAGAAAAGGATAGCATGGAGTTGAGTCCTTGCAGGATCTGAGCCAAAGCAAGGCTCTCTCCTCAACCCCCTGTGGATAACAGTTCGCTGGGGTGCAGAGACAGTAGATAAACACGGTCCAACAAGATAATTATGGGGAATTTAATGGCCTTTTTCTCAGTAGTTGTTTCCCAGTGCAGTGTTTGAAGCTGGGATGCATGTGGTGGCTCATTTATGGTATGGGTATAAAGCGCTGTATGGGCTGCATCCCTTATGAAAAACTACTGGAAAAATCTCATGAAGGTTCTTGTAGCCTTCTCTAGGGATTTCTCTCCTTGTTGGAAATATGACCCTGGGCAAAGCACTTTTGCTACCAAGATGCCTCACCCCTGGAAGTGTTCAAGGCCAGGTTAGATGGGGCTCTGAGCAATATGGTCTAGTGGAAGGTGTCCCTGCCCATGGCAGGTGGTTTGGAAATAAGTGATTTTTATGGTCCCTTCCAAACCAAACCATTCTAAACAGCAGCCAGAAAGCTTTCTGCTAACAAACTCTCACCATGTAATGTTTAAAACCAGTACAGACACACTTTGTTAGCTATTTTGGGTACTACTTTAGAACAGCTTTTGCTTTATCATCTGTAAGTTCAAGCTACCAGATTCTTTGGTCTTTTCCTCAGCTTATTTAATCAAGCTGTCTAGTATTTTGCAAAAGAGCTCAATTCCTGAGTGCAGAATCTTTTATTTAAGCTCTGCCTCAACCGAAGCTCTGCAGAAAAACAACAGGAGTGAAGTGATACATGCAAGGCTTAAGTTACTGTTGACCAGATCATTAAAATGCTGGTTTTGCTTTTTCAGAGAGTCTCTGCAAGCGAGCAGGTCTGTTCTTTACCTTTGCGTATCAACAAGCGAAGGCAAAAGAAAAGGACGTTTTGAGTGAAAGCATTCGCCGATTTCAGCTTGTTCCTGTCTGAATCACATTCACTCAGACACCCCTGGCCCAGCCCCTTGCCCAAAGGAGCCCGTACTTACGCAGGACCCTCACGCCGTGTTTCAAGGCCTGCACGCGGCTGGGCTCCATGGACATGCTGAGCATCGTCTGCTGCCCGCCGATGGTGCACACCTGGTTCTCCTGGGCCGCCTGCTTGAACATGACAATGAGCTGGTTGGCGATGATGGTGTTGAGCACGGAGATGACGACCATGGGGAACACGAAGGAGATGAAGGTGTTGACCTGCAGGGGAGAGACGCGGCACCGTCAGGGGATGAGAAGGATCAGCGGGACAGGAGGTAGCATCAGTTCCTGGCCTGGATCAGGAGTAGTGTGGCCAGCAGGACCAGGGAAGTGATTCTTCCCCTGTACTCAGTGCAGGTGAGGTCACACCTTGAGTGCCGTGTCCAGTTCTGGGGCCCTCAGTTCAGGAAGGACACTGAGGTGCTGGAGCAGATCCAGAGAAGAGCAACAAGGCTGGTGAACGGACTCGAGTACAAGTCCTATGAGGAGAGGCTGAGGGAGCTGGTGTTGTTTAGCCTGGAGAAGAGGAGGCTCTGGGGAGACCTCATCACTCTCTACAACTCCCTGACAGAGGGTGTAGCCAGGTGAGGGTTGGCCTCTTCTCCCAGGAACAAGCAGCTGAACAAGAGGACACGGTCTTAAGCTCTGCCAGGGCAAGTTTAGTTTGGATATCAGGAAGAAATTATTTACAGAGAGAGTAATCAGACAATGGAACAGGCTGCCCAGGGAGGTGGTGGATTCACCAACCCTGGTGGGTTTTAAGATGAGACTGGATGTGTCATCAGTGCCATGGTCTGGGAACCACAGCGAGGTTGGATCAAGGGTTGGACTTGATGATCTCGGAGGTCTTTTCCAACCCAGTTGATTCTGTGATTCTATGGTTCTAGTGTTTTAATTTCTCAAAGCAATGGAGGAACAGCCTGCAGCAGAAATCTTTCCCTTCCTCTTACTCAGCTGGTTTTAGCTTTTGAAGGTTTATTGCGCAGAGGGAAAACTCAAACATCACTGACGCATGTTCTTTCATGTGGGTCAACACTCAAAAAAAGGCAAATTCATTCACATCCAGTTACATTCTTTTCCCTTTTCAGAGCAACTCATTGCCTGAAATGTCTCAACTGAAACATGCCATTGATCTTCCCATCTCACAAACAGCAGGATGCTGCTTAGCTTTCATCATGCGTAGCATGACTTCTAAATAACAGTGTGTTATTGTCTTTTTTGCTGCATTATGAGCACTCCTTGTGATCTTCTTAACTTTCATTTTTTTGGTGTTCTGTCCTTTCCTTGCAGATTTAATGACAGCGTTTTGTTATCTCGTAACTAAGTTATCCAATAAACCTTGTTCCTTAGAGGATTAAAATTGATCAGAATAAACAAGTGGAAGTTGTAATGTTTTTAGTACAAATTATTTGATTACTACAGTTTTGATAAAATTAAATGGAGGATCAAATTAAACAGTGATTGAATCAAGTAGAAGTCACTGTTCATGTCAAATGCAGGAAAGCTTTGTGAGGGCCTTTTGGGCTGTCTAGAAACCTCAATGGAACTGAGCTTGACAAATGGCAGCCCAGGGAAATACAAGCACGTGTAGGATTTGCCTACACATCTGTGGCAAAGCTGCCATGGTGGGATGGTGAGCTGCTCTGCTGACCCCAGGGGCTCATCCTCTCTGCTGTACAGTTCAGAAGGAGACTTAACACATCACTCAGATGAGTGTGGGACAAATCAAAAGCCCTTTAAATATTTGAAATTTCAAAATATTGGCAAGAATAAAACTGTGCTGCAAATTGCTGTTGAAGCAATTGTATTAAAAGTGATAAAATGACAGAAAGATAAAACTACTAAACTCAAGAGGGAATTTGCCTGGTGGTAGGGCTCCAGAGCATTCTGGCTTCTTCCCCAAGCCACTTATCTTGCACCTCAGTGGTCTAAACCACAGAAGCAACCCTGCACTGCAAGCCAACACCGTGAACCCTCCTCAGAGTGCAAACCCTCATCTACAGACAAGAGCTCCATATGCTCGGATGGAGACAACCCCTCTCCACCCACCCACCCCTGCTGGCCCATCTCCAGAGTGGACAAGATTTGCTGTACGCCCAGTGTCTAGTGCAGATTTGTGCTCTCTTTGCTCTGGAGGGATTCAGAAATGCCAGAGGTGAACAGAAACTATCCACCCACACCCCCAAGATGCTACAGGGGATCTGTCAAAGAAAGAAGAAGCACATAAGCATATGGGAGCAGGTGCACTGGCAATCAGAAGCATTTCAGTTTCTCTATCCATAAATTTGAAGATGCCACTCCTCTTTAGGTGGAGACAGGTAGTGTTGTTGTTGCCAAAGTTTTCTTTAGATGCATGAAGTGTCCCTACAGCTTTGTGCTTCAGACCTCAATGTGTTAAGCAAAAGTACCAGCTGGGTTTTGTCTCTGACAACCCACATGGTGGGAACATCTTCTCTCCTCTAATAATAGAGCTCCTCTAGACTGAGTGAATTCCTAGATACACCCCACTATTACAAGCTGTTAATGACCTCTTGTTAAATATAAAGCAGATTTCTAAGCTTCCAAAAGACCTCACAGCCTCCTTCGTATAAAGAAGAGTTATCTTTTGGAGTCCTGTCTATAGGCTAAGACAGATCATTAAGCAGTAAGGACCAACTTCTCAGCTGGTACAAAATAAGAGAGTAATTTGTGTTTGTGAAGAACCTTCTTGGTTAACTTAACCTTCATGATGCAGCTGGGATGAGCTGGTGCTGGATGAGGGGTAAAATAACTTGCTCAGACTTACCAGGTCAGACTAAGAAATGAGCCCTGCAGCTCTCACTCTTATTTCTGTGGCTTCAGCTGCCAAATGCCTTTCTTTCTCACTGCTGAGCAATGTTTGCACATCAGCAAAATGCAGCACTTAACTCTGTAAATGTTTCGCTTTGTTACCCGAGATTCAGAGTTTATTGGTTTTCATTCAAAAAACTTTTCCCTAGCTATAAATTAGTCTTGCTTAATATAATTTTGCAGAACTCAGAAAGTCTTTCCTGAGCTTTCTTAAAAGCCTTGATTCATTCCATAATTGCACTGAGAAGTCTTTAAGGAGCTTGAGAAGTTGTCTAGAATAGCATTGACTTTCCCTCTTATGAATTGTTACAGTAAAAGTGTGAATATTGCATACTTTCTATCAAAGACTATATTTAAAGATTTTTACCCTGTCTTGATTTGTACCACAACTCTCATATAGTTTAAAAAAAAAAATCAATATTTTCCCCAGTAGCAGAATGCTTTAATTTGTTGAAAGAATTATTTACAAACACAAACTCCTGAGGGCCATAAAGACTAGAAAAGCCAATCCTGCTCCTGCAAACCCCTTGTATTTCATGTTTTTCTGCTGAGCTGCTTGCTGGGCTGCATGAGCCCAGACCCCAGCACACTGTGCACATCAATGCAGCAACACTTCATTTTAGGTGACTTTGCACACTGCTGGAGCTGGTGCCTCAAACAACTCTTCAAAGTCAGTGGAAAATTTCCCACTTGCTCAAGAGAAGCTGGTCTGGGATCTCAGGACTACATTTGCAAAAGCTCAGGAGCAGGAAGACTTGTGGAGGTGTTTAATGGGATTTTTTACAGTGTCTCCTAACATCAGTGGATTAAGCTGGCCACAGCTGTCAGTGAACACCCATGGGAGCCTTTGGGTCCTTATGTATGTTTACAGATCACTCTGGCCCCAGGAAGGAGGATTTAGGCAGTGTGCAGGCTCATGTTTGACCTGAAAGTCTCAGGCTTTAGGTTGGCTCACCATGGAAAGGACAGTCTGTGTGATGCTGGATCTACACTAATTCTGTGTTTAGGGTTGTTTGGATGCACAGGCAGAGGGGTCTGGCCTCGTCTGTGCCCTATCCAAGTACAGTTCAATCTGATTCTGCTCCCCCTCAAAACTGATGTGTTTGCATCAGTGTGAACCCACCAGTCCCATGGTCTCTGCCTAGCAGAATGAGCTCAGTGCAGAAGCCCAAAGCTGTGCATGTGAAGGCTTAGCACTGGCTGCTCTCTAGCCTAAAAAAAAAATCCAACCCCATAACCCCCATGACTGAGTGCTAAATCCTCATTAAAAAAAAAAAAATAAAAGAAGAAAATCCAATACTACAATGTTTGTCACTGGCAGGACAGAATGAAACACTAACCCACTTCCATGCTGCTGTCACTCCTGTAATCAGTGCAATCCTAAATGCTGTTCAAGCCCCAGTCTGGCAGCATCTGTGGGATGGGATTAGTCCTCAGGACCAAACTGTGTTTTGTCTTGTACACAACAGCAACCTTCCCTTCCAGCACTGCCTGAGCAGTGACAGCCAGAGACCTGAATCATTTTTCTCCAGCTGCCCCATCTTAGTGGCCGTGAGGGTCCTGCCCTACCCAGGCACGGAGCCTTCCTGGCTATCTAATGATGCACTATTAGTGCCAGCTTTCTCTTAGCCCTCTATTGCCAAAGGTGATTTTAAAATGAAATATGAATCATTAAAATTATGCAGGGTTTTGCAGGACACAGGAGACAGAGCAGAGCTGGGCATAGGGCTTCATAAGCTCATGGGAAATGGAAATTTATGGAAATTAAGTCAAACTCCTGGAAGGGAAAAAAATGCAGCTATCAGCCTCATAGTCAACAAAAATCAGACATTGCATGAGACTAGAGAATTCAGCACGATGTGAGTTTTCATCTTCCATTCAAATGGGAACGTGGGAGAGACAGAGGGGAAGGGACCAGAAAAACCAAGGGACACAAAAACAGAACTCGGTTCTCAGGTTTGCGACTCTCCCTAAATCTTATGTACAGAAAACTGCTCCCCTGGCTCTGCCAAGCTTCATGCTGACGTAATTCACTTTAGTCAAATTGTCCCTCAAATTATTTGACTGTGTGGTTTCCCTGGGTTACCACTGAAAGCAGCCATCAGCTCACTTGTAACCGTGATGGAGAAGGTGAGCACAGAACTTCTCACAGGGACTCCCCAGAGGGCTTAAACAAGTCCAGTAAATCAGAAGTTTAGTGGAGATTTATTTTTTGTGCTCCAAGCTGACTTTTGGAGAAACACAGACTTGAAGACCGCTTTGGAAGAAGAGGTTTTTCCATCCCTCCTACAAGCCCAGACTTCTGTCTTAGATGTATCTGAAGAGGAGGAGGGGAAAATTTACAAATATTACACCTGTTACAGGCATTTACAGACAATCTTTGCTCCCAG